TTTTTTAAATATATCTATAATTAATCATTTCTGGTTTTAACAAAGATATCTGTCTTTTTAATCATTACTTGGCTTGATTAGTAGGTATGAAGACATTCAGAGAAACTTCTATATTTTGCCAGAGTGTGATCTTTCAGTTTTTTCAAAATTATTAAGCTCATTATTCTTATTAATTTAAACGTTTTTGCTGTATTTTTGTTCTTGAAGTCGTTGTTGTTGTTACCTTATGGCGGTCAAGTTCCTCGCTGTCAACAGGACAAGTGCATAATTCATGCTGGCCTGCTTCCCTGTTCATAGACAGTTAAGACTTGTTAGAATGTTCGAGTATAAGAAATATATATTATTGAACTAACTTATTTGGTCCGTATAGGACGAATTGCTTTTCAAAACATTGCACAACCTAATTAGTGAGCGGTTCATTAATGATCTGTACTACAAAGTTTGGAGCGCTCAGAGAACCAATTAATAGTCTCCTTTTCATCTTGGACCAGTTTGCTGTTTTAGAGGAGGGCCCTACTAGAAACCGAAAACCGATCAAAATGTCTGAAAGCCGAAAAACCGCCATCAAAATCGTTCAAAATGATTAAAACTGAAAATTCACATACTTGAATCTACCAAGCTTGCTGCAACAGCGAGAGACGTGTATTCCTCCTCTTTTGAGGGATCAAGACATTTTCATTTAAAATCATTGCCTTTTTGGATTACTTTTAACCCTTGAATAATAGCTTTTCGATAAAAGAGCAATTAAATGCTACAAACGGCTGTCTCAGCAAAAACCTCACTTGAGCATGCAAATTAACATTAATTTCTTTCCACTTCGTGGCATAGAGAAGATGATTCTACTCAGGATGACTCTGATCTCCAAATGGATTTGTTGTTGTTTTATTATTATTATTATTATTATTATTATTATTATTATTATTATTATTATTATTAAATTTTTGTAAAGCTTAGCTCTAGTTTTTGTCACAATAAACACTCCTCTTTTTTAATTATTATTATTATTATTATTTGCATAGAACACATCTGTACCAAATCTGGTTGTCACGCAGGGACTTGCTAGAGGACTAGAGGCATCAATTATTAAAGTACGGTCTCTCGTTAATTAAAAGACGACCCTCGTCTCTTGCGATAATTTAATGGACCTCTTCGGGATGCTTAGGGGGAAAATACATACTCATTTGCCCCCTAAGCATCCCATAATAGCTATTTGAAACAATATAATTCAAAATGGCCACCGTATAGCCGAAAAGGTCCATTTGCTACATCAATATGGCACACAACGTGAACTCACACGGTTTGAACTAATGAGGCCTAGGAACTACCGACGCAAATAAATAAAACCGAAGACTGCTCTTCTTATTACCAAAAACCGAATGCACTTATGTAATAAAACTGAAAACCGTAATAGATACCAAAACCGCAAAACGTAGTGGATATTTCGAGTGCAAAAATCGAAAAACCGATGTAAAATTGGCCAAAACCGTAAAACCGAAAACCACAACGCCCCGCGTTGTTAACCATTACGCAAGTTTCGCTAAGTTTGTAGTCTGCACTATTAAACAGTTCTAAAACTGTGGGCCCGAATAATCATGTCACGCTTAAAATATGTCACGCCTTGCATATTTTCCGCCTGTTTCGTTGACGCACTGTTTGACTTTAGAAAGTAAAAATAAATAAAATAAGGTACGTTGATGGTGAGGTTCGACAGATATTTAGTCTATTTAGGCTCCTTTCTGGACACCTTGAATCCATTTTACATTACCTTCGGCAGCATTGTTTGCTTTCTAACACTATTTAAGCTCATCAAAAACCTGAGCCACCAGTCTTTCCTTTTTTGCCCGATTTT